GGGTAGGGGGGGGTCGCGCGTGCCGGGGTGGGTTGTTTCACGCGTGCGCTATGATGCAGTTCACTTGGCATCTGAAAATACATTTCCTCAAAAGTATTTTGAATCTGAAAAGAGCTTCACTGAGTGAGAAGTAGTGGATCTCAGCAGACAGTAAGTTTCACTTTTGCTCTGTTACTGCAGAGAGCCTGCAGGAGTCATGGGCCGGGTGTGTGGGGTGGGGGGTGAGGAGGTGTGCTCCGTGATGAGGAAGCTCAGCTTAAAGACACGTCCCAGGGAGGTTTCTGGTACCAAAAGAGATTTCTGGTCCCCACCTGTCGTTTTGCTCCTCAACATGGCTTCCTAAAAATGCTGCAGGATTTCTCAAACATGCKTGAATGAGTCAGAGCAAGGCTTTGGGCATGTTTTTTTTATGAGAGTATAACATTATAACATGACATAAAACTAAAAAAAAAGTTGATTTTATATGATATCGCCCCTTTAAGGTCCAAAAATGACCTTTAGAGAACCTGACAATCTACTGATCACAAACACTTTGAACATTTTCAAGATAGATTGGTTTATAAAAACAAAGAAAATAGATTTAAACCTTTGCACTGTGGAAACGGTCATGTATGTTCCTTAGAGAGTTACATAATCAGTGACCAATAAATGTCAAACTGTGCTGACTCTTTGAACTGTCCTACACTAGTTGTTGGTGTAAATGAATGGCCTCGGTTCTGCTCTCAGAAACGATGTCACAGAAACCACCTGTAAAAGATCTGAATTGAATACAACTCTAATGGTTGACCATTACCTCAACAGTGGAGGCTCTTTTTTCATTTCCAGTCATGCAGAGCGACGACTGAGAGTTGTTTGAAACCAGATTAAATGGCACACAATCCGCCCCGATTCATCATGCCGTCTCACTTGTTTGCTGGTGTATTCGAGAGAGTCCCGAACCCTGAAAGATCTTGGAACCACTCAATAAACAAATAACGGATTACCCCTTCGCTGTCCCCAAGGACAGTGCACTTTAGAATCGACATGAAAATGAACTCCCATCGACTGTCCTTCAGGAGCGTGGATGTACTTTGTGTTTAGTAAGAGGGTGGAAAAATAAAAGGCTTTGTGCTGCAGGCAAATATAAAAGAAACAAAACAGCGATTTGAATAGAAAGGAGAGTAATTTGCTTTGGGTGATTATTTGCTATTGGACATCTACCAATTAGTTTGCAAAAGTAAACACTGGAAAAGCTGGGGGTACAATGATAGATAGGGACACCTKGACTTGAATGACAAGGAAAGTTTCTGCTGCTGCCATTACCGCAGCAGAACCATCTCTTCTGATAAACACTTAATGGCATATTGACCACCTGATGTGTTTCCTCCTGGTGAACCTGCTTCTGTAGAATGAGTTTCTGTCCTCTGGCTCTGGTCTCGTCTCAGACATTTTAGTCTTCAGCTTCCTCTGCTTCCTCCCTCTCACAGCCCGGCTGATGCTTTTCTTCTTTTACCCTCAGTTTCCTCTTTGCTCCATGTGCTGCATCATTTTCACTGTGATCTTTTTTCCCAATATTTCCAATTTCTTCTATTGTTTTGGTTTCTTTTGTTTTCGTAACACATCACACACTTTTTTTTACCGCACACCTTTTAAGTGTATTTGTTGAAAACCAAATCTGCATGCCTGTTGAAGCAGAGCAGGTAGATTATTTGTTTCAAATGCAAACGGTTTCAGGAATAAACAGTTCAGCAGAATAGGTTTTGCTTGCTTCAGCGATTTGCTCTCTTTGTTTTGAGCTCCTCCGCATTAAGCTAGTTAAAAAGAGCAAACCATCCGTACTGTAAATCCACCGAATCCTGAAGGCATTCAGAGAAAACTTCCTGCTACTAAGCATCTGTTCTCCCCGTAGACAATAATAAATACAAGCTTTATTGAGAGCACCTTTTAAACAAAGCAATATGTGTTATATAACAGTCTTGCAATAGATTCTGCACCGGTGAAGGTTATAATTGTGTTGATTAAAGGTCTGGTTACAAAACCCCGCAGGAATAAGACTCATGCCCGTGCCATTAAGTTTAATTTACAATATACTGCAGGTTGAACAAGCTGTGCGTTTGTTATTGGTCTTTAAAAACCAAAGGTGAATTTGTGCTTGAACAGAGCACACGCACCAACAAATGTTATTTCAGTCTGTTTCAGTTTTTACTGAAGGACCTTTAAATGTCGTCTCTGAATCTTACCTTTTCAGGTGTCCGATGACTCATCTGACTCCCCAGAACCTGAGCCAATCAGCTGCATGGAGCCCTTCATGGTGCGAAGGCTGTCATGCCGGTCGGTCCAGCTGCCACCTTTAGCCTTTCGACAGGCGGAACAGTACTACTTGGACCGGAAGCCCGAGCCGGACACGGTGGCAGTTCCACCGAGGCCCACTACGCTGCCTCTACGTGCGCCGCCGCTCATCGCCATCACCTCAGCGGACACCAGCAGGTAGGGAACATTTGTGTCTCAGCATTTTTGCGCGCACGCGCGCACACACAGAAAAATAACCTTTAATGAAATGGGTTATTGTTGGTATAATGAGTTTTTGAAGTTGTGGATTGACACATTGATTGAACCGAGGGCAGATATCCATTAATTATGTGACAGAGTGGAAAAAAATGAGACCTGAAGTGCAAGTCACCTACCCCAAGGCCAACTCTGGATTAGGAGCCATGTTTCCATGGTAACAATGAGTGATATTTGCCTAAAGGTCAGACTCAATGACCAAAGGCTGCAGAAACAGTTTCTGACTTCTGTTCATTAAGATAACACTTTATAACACATCACAAGCTTTCACAAAATACACACACAGCTGTCTAGAAACAGCAAGACATCTAAAAATATTACAGAACATTTGTCAGGATAAAAGATGCTTCAAAGTGACTTTTAGTGAGTAGCTTAATTAAGGGACAAATATTTTTGCACTCATGCAATCTAAAGTGCCTTTTCACCAGAATGACCTGCCGGCTAAGATCAGACAAGCAGGTGTAGAGTTCTTGTTTTCAGTTGAACTAAAAGGCCCCTGAACTAAAGCAGCTCTCCATATTGTAAAACACTTTGACTGGTTGATCAGAGGAACAAAGTGAACGTCTCTTTTTGCTCTGATTGATATATATATATATATATATATATATATAATAGCATTCTAACACCTTTGGTAGTAGGGAAAACTGTGTATGAAAAGCAGTGGGGCACAAACACATCCTTGTGGAGCTCTGCTGGTGATTGTCAAAGGTGTTGTTAACTCTCACTGTACCCTGGCATGTTTTATTTTAGGTGAGTTCAAATGTGTTGATATTAGACGCTTTAGGGAGGAAACAGCATTTTCAGTCCTGCACTGTTTATATGCAAATTGAAAAGGATCAAGTCTGTCCTGTATTGACTGAAAGAGCAGGTGCCACGTTGTTTCTTTCTAATGACTGTATTAATATTAATGTTGGAGCTGCAGGGGTTTTGTGACATTTTCACAAATGGGAACAGTGTCAAAATATATGACAGACATACAATTAATGCTACAGTTCAGTGCTAATAGTTTGAAAATTATTTAGCAACATAAATTAGGAATCTATGGGTAGTTAGGTCAGAAATTACACAAAATAGTGTTTAATGGACTACCATGAGTGATCAAAGACTTTCAGAGTCGAGTCTCATGATGTTCGATTTAAATGAAAGTGTTGGAGGGTAAATTATTTTCTTGTGGACAGTCCGTCTTTTGCAGCATCAGTTCAAGACTGGGTTGAAGGTTTTGGAGCTGTGCACAACACACCATGGTTCAGAGAATCTCAGTCAATTGTAGCCAAAGCTCACTTAGACAAAAGTGACCAGACAATCAAAACATCAATAAATCGAGCTCCTTTCACTGAAAGATAGTAAAGCTCTATCATCGCAGATACTCACTTTACTAAAACAAGAATGCAGCATTCCAGTCAACAAGATGTGTCGAAAAATTAAATAAAAATGATGAATTGTCTCACAGGACAAGATGTCTGAGTTACTATATTCTGGGTAAAAGTAAAARCAAGATGCTTCTGTAGAAAAAATATAAACATATCTGCACTTCCTGGTATATAATTTGAAAAAAAAAAACTAGATAAAACAAAATTTCTTTTCAGCAGATGTAGCTGAGTTGATCATTGTGTGAAAGTGGAGGCAGTTTGGTGCATCAGTGAAATGGTGGATATTCACAGCCCAATTTTCTGTAAAATATACTGCCATTCAGTCTGAGCTAAGTGGGAGCATTAGGTTTCATTTGTCTGGTTCTCTGTTGTGGGATTTTTGTTTTGCTCAAGGAATGGAAGCAATATTTTTTATCAATATTGCCCATTTATTGCTTCTGTTATTCTCAAAAGTAAAAAAAAAKCACATAAAATAAATTACTTAATGTACTAGCATTAGTCTAGTTTTAGAAAATAAATGGATGAATAACAATGGGGACATTTTATAAATGATCACAACTTGAACTAAAATTTCCAAAACACTCTTCACAAAAAAAATCTCATTTTGAATTGTGTCCAAATAATAAATTGGTGACAAATTTATTGGTGTCTCCAGACTTTTAGGAAAACAAATTAACTTGTTTGTAGTCTTATCTTTCTTATGCATTTGTGGCTTTGTTTGAGAGTAAAAGCTTTCTTTCCAGGTAGAAAAATACCACAGGTTATGGTGGTCTAGCTGCATGCGAAACATTCATTTTTCTTTATGCTGGGCACTTGAAACTGAATATTTGAAATGTAGTTCAAAGAATCCTGAAGCTGCTCCCGCTGGAATTTGTACACTTTTTAATTTGCATTATTTATTTTCCACGTTCTGGGTCTAAAAAGATAAAAAAGAGACCTGGAACAACAAAAGACAAACTGTGATGACTGACGGTTGTTTTTTTTTTTTTCCTGAGTTTGGTATTGTTCCTATTTTCACTTGTGGGAATGAAGCATTGTTTGCATCTATTGCTTCCTAATGAAACAACGGATTGAGTTCTTTTCAACACGAAGTGTTGGGTTTGTGTGTGTATTATAATGAATTTGTGGTGGAAGGCTTGAACACAGGGACACAAGGCAGAACATTAAGAAAATAAAAAGTCTTTGATAAATTTATTTGCAGGACCAGAAAAATTAGGACCATTAACTAATAAAAGCTGATAAACAACTTGGAAGAATAGACAAAAATGTTCACTTTTAGCTTTGAAAGGCTAACACTCAGCTGACTCACAACTGCTTTTGTTTTAACATCATTTGAACCAGATTTCACCTTTAGAGCTGCACTGCTGTGTGGTCCAGCCAGAAAAAGAAAGAAAAAAAAACTGTCATTTATTGAAACTTTGAGAAATGTGAATGTAAAAAGGCAAGAAGGAGAGAGAGAGAATAATACAACAGTGTCTCAAAAACACAATGATTGGAATATTCATGTCGGGAGGTGTTTTGTTATTCTCAAACTGGACGCCGACACCAAATCAGCTCGACCCTGATCAAAGAGGGATTCTTCATTCTTCCTTCAGACACATGCTGCACACGCCGGTCTGCATCTTTTAGTAGGGAATGATTCAAAATGCAACAGAATAAAGAGTCCAAACATTTCTCAAAGCTTGGCAGGAACCAGCAGAAGATGAAAGGAGTACGAGACGTTCTGGGTGTCATCGACCATGAACTGACCTCAACCTCTAACCAGAACAAATAATGCCAGGGTGTCAAACACTGTCTCCTCTCATCAGACTGGAATCATGAGTTAAATTGTCTGCACGACAACATTTAACTGGCCTAATAATTACATGGATTAAACAGATAAAAATTTCAGATTTTTCTTGAAACATCTGAATATACTGTAAGATGTAAGGGACATGAGGCTGGCTTTATGAATTGGTAACAAAAAAAATTTGATCAAAGCAGTTGAGATTCAAAGCTGGTGGAAGTGAAAGAAAACAATTAGTGTGAATGTTGAATGCCTTTGCTGAAATTTGCATTGTAAAGCTAAAAGAAGCAGAACAAAAAGCTAAAAAGAGCAAACTGCTAGCAAAAAAGCCAAAAGTAGCAATACTCTGGCTATTCTAAACATAACAAAAAATAACAAAGGCTAGCTAAATGTATCAAAAGGTTAACTAAAATCTATAGTAGTGGAACACCAGCTAAAAGCTCAACGAGGCAAAAGTGTTGAATGCTAGCTAGAATGTAAAAAATCTAGATAGAAGCTAAATAGAGCAAAAGGCTATAGCTAAAAGCCAAGGTAGCAACTCTGTAGCTTAAAACTAAAAGCAATATAAGACAAAGATGGACCCATCATGCAGGAGCAGATTAAAAAGCACAAGGTTTTTGAAAGAATTCAAGAGATAGCAGTTTAACATTTTTTAAACTTTCAAAACAAAAAAAAAAATCACAGCACTCCTAAATGAGCTGAAATTTTCAACGTATTATCAGATAACAGCAACACTTGTCAGTGACAACATGCAGAGTTTTACTGTTTTATTGATGTCAAAGATTCACAAAAATGAAGTAGAAAAAAATTAAAGGGACAAGATATTCATTGTAAAAGATAAGCTTTGAATCTCAGGAAATTCAGTGTCAGTCCGGAAGAACGGACAGCATGATGAGAGGTAGGAAGTAAAAAGTGTGTTGGCAGCGATGCAGAGAATTCTTGCTGTTTAGTGGACTAATAATATGCAAAGCGTTGGTATTTAAATGTTTCCCCCATCTGGCTTCAAACGGAGTGACTCATCAAACACTGAAGTCGAACAGATTTCTGTTCTTCACCTCTGTCACTTTTTAATCTTACCAGGGTCTTTGAAACATTACAAAATCAAGATTAAAGCAAGGACTGTCAGAAAAATACAACCTTTTTAGTTTTTAACACTGCTTCAGAGCCTAACTGGGTTTGTGATGTGAATTAATTATCAGCTGCTGCCAAAGTTGAGAGCTTATAAGGTTTTAGCCTGTGTCTGTGTTGTCTGTCGCGTTAATAAAATATCTCATGAACCAGTGGATGGATTTTAATTCAATTTTCAGAAAAAAAAAACATTGGGTATACTTCAGTGAGGTACTTATATTGGCTAGAGGTGCTACGTGACTTCATGGTTGGAGAAAGCGGCCATATTGTTTAGGACGAGGGCAACTCGACATAAATTGTTAGCTGGTGAAGCTGAAACATTGTCAATAAATCATATTTACATGTTCACAATAATTTTTACTATTACCATTACTTCCTCTTTTATGTTGCCCCACAAGAAAAGTCAATATGACCAAACACGGTTTAGCTAAGCTCCGCCCACCTCAAGAGCTCAGCTAATCAGGTTTAGGACAAAAAAAATCTAAAGAACTCTGCCAATCACAGTTAGGACAAACTCTGCTCACACAACAAGAAACTCCCTCTATACAAGATGGCTTCTACGGCCAGCTGACCACAGAAAACACAAAAATGTCCATAACTCAGTCAGTTTCACAGATACGGTTAAAACCTTGTGTCAG